CTGCACACAATACTCCAAGTGAGGTCTCACAAGAGCAGAGTAGAGGGGTAGGATCACCTCCTTCGACCTGCTGGTCACGCTCCTTTTGATGCAGCCCAGGATGCGGTTGGCTTTCTGGGCTGTGAGCACATACTGCTGGCTCATGTTCATTTTCTCATCAACCAATATCCCCAGCTGCTTCTCCTCAGGGCTGCTCTGAATCTCTTCTCTGCCCAACCTGTAGCTGTGCCTGGGATTGTTCTAACCCAGGTGTAGGACCTTGCACTTGTCATGGTTAAACTTCATGAGGTTGGCATCAGCCCACCTCACAAGCGTGTCAAGGTCCCTCTGAATGGCATTCCTTCCCTCCAGCGTATCAACCGAATCACACAGCTTGGTGTCATCGGCAAACTTGCTGAGGACGCACTCAATCCCACTGTCCATGTCAGCGACAAAGATGTTGAACAAGACCGGTCCCAACACCGATCCCTGAGGGACACCACTCATTACTGGTCTCCAGCTGGACACTGAGCCATTGACCACAACTCTTTGTGTGCAGCCATCCAGCCAGTTCTTTATCCACCGAGTGGTCCATCCATCAAATTGATGTCTCTCCAATTTAGAGACAAGGATGTCGTGTGGGACAGTGTTGATGCACACAAATCCAGGTAGATGACGTCAACTGCTTTACCACTGTCCATCAGTTCTGTAGCCCCATCATAGAAGGCCACCAAATTGGTCAGGCAGGATTTCCCCTTAGTGAAGCCATGCTGGCTGTCACCAAGCACCTTGTTGTTTTTCATGTGCCTTAGCATGCCTTCCAGGAGAATCTGCTCCAAGATTTTGCCAGGCACAGAGGTGAGACTGACTGGTCTGTAATTCCCTGGGTCATCCATTTTCCCCTTCTTGAAAATGGGGGTTATATTTCCCTTTTTCCAGTCATTGGGAACTTCACCTGACATTATGCAATTTCCATCTTAAGTACTACTATCCTGCAGCACTTTCTTTCACTGATGAATTATTCATTGCACAAGCAGGTATTTATCATCACTTATTCATACGACTTACCTGCTTTCAGTTAATAAAGTAAGCAGCTAATTTTGTAAGCACACAAAACCATGAATCAGTCCTCAAAATTCCCAAGACTTTAAAACCAACCCTCACTTTGTCTTTTGGTTGCAAGGAGGGATGAACTGTGACAGGATCCATAAGGATGCCAGTAGGAGTAAGCAGCATGACTGAAAGAGAAAGGAACATGCCAGTATTCTAGATGTTGCTTTCATATACTTACTCCTAAAACAAAGTGTGATCTGTTTGCAATAAGGTTTATAGCACTATTACCTACAGTATCAGGGGCTGAATTTGATTACACCAACAATAGAACTCACATACACCCAGTGTGAGGGCATGACATTTCTTTCCCAGCTAGAAGTGTTATTCAGAGATAGTTAGAGGATTTGGATCATTTGGACCTTCCTGATAACCGTGACTCCTCATCACTGGCAGGTTCATGACAGACCTGAGGAGATGTGACATGGACAGCATGTTTTGTATGCCTGGAGACATGGCAGCGCTGCTAAAGGGGTAATTCCCTGTCTCATGATGCATGAATATTGGGATATACATGCCATGTTTTTCAGGCCTCTACTTTCTGTATACACTAGAATATAAATAGCATTACTGAATGCTGGTGATGGGAATCAGGCTCATGTTTGTGAGCCAGCTGTTCCCACATTTTTCTCCCCATGTTTTATCAGCTTAATTCTTAAATATCCCTAACATTTCCATCCAGAATTTTTAAAGGGAGGAAGCATGACTTGGAAATCACTGTAACATGAATGGATTTGTTGACTTAACTGACATTGTTTTGACATGACAGGGCCTACCAAGGGACCAAGACCCCTTTGTGCTAACTGCAGAACAAACACAGGACTGAAAATGGAGCTGGTATCAGAGTTCCCCTACCTTATCACACTCAGTTAATTCATTACTCCATGCAGGCTGGCCAGCTAAGAGTAGCATTTGTTTCAGGAGAGGGAAAACTCGTGCATAGCAGCAGCATTGTTTCTCTATACTGTTTTCATAGCAGGTTCCTGCCCATGGCTCTTAGTAATTCAGAGCCCATATTCAAAACAGAATTGTCCAAATCTGAGCCATTTCATCTACCAACAAAAGCAGACTTTTGTGTTTGTACGACACTGGGACAGGGAGATGCTGGCTGATGCTGGCTGAGAGCCTAAGACCATCATAGCTGGTGAGCCATGCTGGCATCTCCCAGCACCCACACATCAAGCACCCCAAGAGCCAAAAGAACACTCCAAGAACAGATGTGTAATACTGGGCTCATCAAAACAAATACATTCTTATCCTGTTTGATTCTGCGAATGAATTAATGCCTCTAAATAATGCGAATGTAACTTTGTAGCCCTGGTTATGTGTACGTAAAACCATCTGGTTTAGAGCAGCATATCTGACTGCACCAAATACTTTTGAACACCACTGTGAATAGAAAATAGGCCTCTGAGACAGGAGTCAGCAGTTTTCAAGATCTGACATGCTTATACTGAGAGCATCAGAAGGGATCCAGTGTCACCACCTCTCTGCTGCTTTGGCAGCCTCATCCAACCCAAAGCATTCTATGATTCCATAACATCTCTAACCAAGAGCCATCTCTATGGCCCTTCTGTCTCACAGCCATCCCTAAGCCACTTGCTTGCAACCCACTGCACAGCACAAGGAACAAAAGAGGAACTTCTGCATTGCTTAAACACATAAGGACTACTGCTCTGTTAACATCCATTTCCATGCCATCTCCAGGGCATGCCAACAGTGACCATTCAATGGTGACAGGGTAAGAACAAGGTAAGCTTTGTAAGCAGTTCCATACCTGAGCATCAGTCCATCTTCTGAGGATCTGCCATTGGGTGACCCATGCCAGAAGTGATGTCCCCTGCTGAGCTGTTCAGGGAGGAGAGGACCTGAGTCCTGTCTGGGGGGATACAAACATCACTGGAACTCTCCCCACTTTGCAAACGCAGTGTTGGTGTTGAAAGGCTTGACCTTGCACTGTCCTGTGCTCTGACATCGTTACCAGTTATGATAGCTTAGCTTCCACTGAGCACCCAGAACATACATGGTTATAGGAATCCCAGCTTAATAAATTCTGATTAAGAATAGCCCTCCCCAGTCTCAATGGCATGTGTATGCAGCCAGACTAGGGTTGCCAATGGCTGTGAGCTTTAAGCAAAAAAGGCTGTGAGCTCTCTCAGTGCATGGAGCTATAATTACAGCTGTCAAAACCAGAAATCCCTTTCACTTTCCTCATGCCCCAGCCCTCTCCTTGTGTCCTTCCTTCAGACCATGCGTCCAGGTCACCAGGGAGTCAGGTTCCTTTGCCTAGAAACCAGCTTTTGTCTTATTGGCAGATCTTTTTCCTTCTGCATCCACTGAAATCTGTAGAAATAGGACAATGCATGAGTAGCTTTTTAATCTAATTATACTTGGTTCACTTGGATATTTTTCAACCAATTTATCTGACCCAGCAAAGAAATGATTGGATGAAGGATGGATTGACCCATCCAGAAGATAGGAGCACATACAGATACCTGCCATCAGTCTGAAATGCGGTACAAGAGTGCACTTCGCTACCAAAGCCCTTCAGCAAAAGTGCCCATGGCTCATTTCTTGATTTCAGGAGATACGTGCAAATGCAACTTACCTCACCCTGTGGTTGGTGGTGTCTGGAGCAACTTGCAAGTGGGGATGCCTGATCCCCAGGTCACAGCCATGAGTCCCATGGTGTATGAGTAGCATGGCGGTTGGAAAAATTCACATAGAAGACCTTGCAAGCGTGCTTGCTGGCTGAAACTTTGTCCTAAAGACCCTGCAACTGTGAGAAAGGAGGCTCCTCGTCATTTATAGCTGAGGTCAGTGGAGGGCCAGAGCAAGGAAGTTTGTATTGCAGCAATTTGTACCTTATCTTGTTTCTAGATGTAAACAGAAGGTTTACGCTTCCATTATGGAACTCTTCTACACCAAAAATTGTTCAGTGCATAGAGGAGGCCAGGGACATGCAATGTGTGTGCACACTTATTTCTTGAGCGTATTTCAAGAAGTACAGTTAAAGAGTCCAGTGTTTCTGAAGTGTTTGGAAATCAGGACTCTTTTGCACTGATTAAAAACCCAATCTTCACAGATCACAGGGGTCATTCCAGGATCTCTGTAAGGTCTGGATGTAACTCTCCAGTGTCATGGACTTAGGTCAACACCATTGAAGTCAAGAGTCCTTTCATGAGCTCCAAGTCACTCCCAGTTGCTTCTGAAGTCATTGCCCAGGCTTTTTTCTTTTTGGTCACAGTACCAGTTTTATATCATTTGAAAAGGTCCCAGGCAAGGGACATATGGAGCTTACAAAGGCATAGTTACTGTGCTAGCAAGCTCCAGTTTCATGCCAAGCAAATTATTCATGCACACTCTGTGGATAGGAGGCACAAGCTTTCATGTGGTTATATGGATAAAGGAAGGAGAATTTAGGCCTCTGACTCAGCCTGACAGTAATGTTTCCCCCTAAATACATCCACGGAACTGCAAAGCAGAGTTCTCACAGCACTGATGGTAGGGCAGTCCTCCCTTTGGAAAATGTGACCCCTTATTTACATGCCACTTGGAAACCAGTATCATATAAGGATGCCAAACTCTTCCAGAAGTCTGGCCTTTTGTTTATAACCTCTCATGAAAGTACGCAATTCAGCAAAAGCAGCTTAGAGATAGCATTTCAAACAAGAATCAAATGGCTTGCCTGGAACACAAGCAACAGCAAACGCCCCCCCCCCCGTCTGTTAAGAGACTTGACCATGCTGTGTGATGCTGTGCTCCTGCATCCAAAAGGAAATCTGACATTCAGCAGGTGTTCTGTTTTTTTGGGTAGTCTCATGGAAGGAGAAGGAGTCTGAGGAGACACAATACAAAAAGGTCCTTTAAACACATCTACTTTTCCATTTTGGCTCCATGACCAAAGTGCCTTTCTTTTCCTCTCAGTGGATTTTATTCAATTACCACTGCAGTGGCCACTGCAGAGTGTGGGGTACATTCCTGCTTTGGTTGTCTTTGTGTCCATTTGGCAGCAATCCTGAACACCCAGAAAAGCACACAGTTGCTGATTTCCTCCATTTTTACTTTCTTCTTAGAAATATTTGGCTTTTCCACACTACAAAAAAAAAAAAAAAAAAAAAAGGAAGTAAAATTAATAAGTTCTTATGATTCTTTCCTAAAATAATTGAATTTACTCTATTATTTTAGTTAGTGAAAATAGAAAAGCCAATCAGCTGACTGTAATTGTACAATAAAGCCAAGAGTAGTTCAATTCTTGTTCCATAATACTTATATAATTCAGACCTGGAGACAAAAGCACTAAGGGTCATGGATTAACAGTGGCTTAAAGTTGAAAATAGCCTGAGGAAGTAAGGATGACAAAGTAATTACTAATGGGCAAATCATATGTTAATGGGTAGTTATTTAGTGTATGACATTTAATCAATATAAATGAAAGAAATATAAAAAGAAATTAAACTTTTAAGGCCTCTTATGAATATAGGTATATAACTAGTGTCTATAATTGAAATAGAGCTATAAAAATAACTTTGAAATGGCAGTTATTAAAATAAATGATTTTGTAATAATTAAAACAGTTGTTGAAACACAGAGATAGTCCTCATGAACCTTGTTTTATGAGGTTTTTTCAGTGATGTGTAAAACTAAAACCTGTGCTATTCAGCTGAGGTGCCAAGCAATTGAAAAATACACTGCAGAAACTCATCCCTTACCACCTGCCAGAAACTGCACTTTTCTACATAAAAGATCAGATTTCAGAAGTAAATAATTTTATCAGTTCACTTTGCTATAGCATTAAGGTAAATCACATCAAAGCCTTCAATATGCATACCCAAACAGATTAGTGAAATCCATAATAAAAGCTCTGGTGGGGTTCACACTCACCAGTGCTGGAATTTCACAAGACACATAGCAATGGTTAGTTAGGATCATCTATTGCAAGAATTACAGCTGGTACAATAGTAATTGCTGTGCCCAAGATAATTGCAGAGATTGCAAGAGTGCAAAACACAGGAAAGGAATTCTGTAACAAGAATGCCCTGTGATTTTTTCCACAACAAACAAGGGAAGAAAATTACATTTCTAAACAGAGGGTGAACACTTATTTGCCAGGGTAACTGCTACTGCCTGCACAGAAACCATCCCTCTGAGCCTGTGGGATGTTCAGAACAAGAAGCAGCTGAACACATGCAATAACAGAAGCAATTAGTTGTTTAGTGCTTCTGTGCTAAAAGAAATTACACCTGCACACATTATTGTTGGGTTAAAAGACCATACACATCAGTAAAAACATATATGAACTAGCTCTGTTGTTGATCAGACCACCTCTAGCCTTATTGCCCAGGACACCTCTCTGAAGAAGAGTGCTTTGCCTCAGTGACTGGGACTTACTGAAAGAAGTCCATCTTGGCCTTAATTCGTAGCTCAGTCAGAGCAGAGAGTTTACAGAGACCTTTTGGGTCTTTGTAACACTGTGTTAGTAATAGCAGAAATAAAACCACTGTCCTGGCATATTGCATCTTCTTTTTATACAAACATTTCATCTCAAAGTCTTAAATAGGCAGTAAAACAGTATTTAGTCTTATAAGTCTTCTTTGTTTAAGTTCATAGTGTACCAACCTACCACTTACATTCCCTGCATTCAGAACACCTAGAAACTTCTATTTATTAGAAACCCATCCCAAAGTAAATATACCATTTGAGTCAAGGATAATCTATTCCTAAGAAAGCTGCTAGCCAGGTCCTGTGGATATGGGAGGGTAAGGTGCTCTTGATTATTTAACAACAAAAGTTTTCCATTTCAGAAGTGAATTTTTGCACACCCATATTCAAAGCCATATTTTCTTCATTCGGATATAAGTTATGACCCCAAGAAAATATCCATTGAGCTCTTTCTTACTCCCAGCCTCTGGATGCCAGCATGAGGAAGGCAATGAGGCCTTACATACTATGCCCATACACAGAAAACATGTGTCTTGGGCTGTTTCAGAGCCCTGTCCTTCAGTTGCCCCATACAGAAGCAAAATGATTGTTACATATACGTAGTACAACTTAAAGACTGCTTAGCAGGCTGGTTCTCATTCTCTGTGTCTCATGAGCCACATAATCCTATTTAGTGTTTTCGCCGTTTCATACTTCACTTGGTGGCTCTGTGCTGCTCCTTGTCCAGTGTTGGTAGGTAATAATACCTTTGGCATGCAGCATTTAGCTGAGGCAAGCTTTGAAAGTGTTAACTCAAAGGCAGGATAATGTCCTATTTGGATGAAGTAAAAAGTAAATAAATACAGGATTTACTGCAATTTAAGGCTTAAGATGAGATCAGATGCCTGTCATCTCCAAACACCTCTCAATCAGCAAAAAATAATCCTTCACAAAGTAGATTGTTGCTTCTTGGTGCAAGTTTTTCTGGAGAAAATGAAGCCATACATTATTTCTCTCTAGAGTGGAGGGAGGCGAAGCATAAACTCAGCTGAAAACTTACCCAGGGCTTCTGGCAAGCGCAAGCCATTTGTGCTGCTTACCAGATCTCTGCATTTCACGAATCCCAGATGATGTGCAGGGGGATCTCTTTAAAAGGATACAGGAAGTTACAACTATCATCAGCTAATGAAGAGGGCAGGGAAATGAAGAGGGAGCAAAAGGGAAAGTGGGCTGAGAGCTCTGCCCCCACCATGCATGAGGGAGGAATGTTCCTGGGAATTACTGCATTAAAGCCACCTGCCTACAGCGTTAAATTTCTTCCCCTCTTTATTTCAAATGAAGGGAATCAGCCCAGTTTTTACTTTCAGATCTGAGAGAAGCCTTGCAAATGAGAACAGTGAAGCCATCCTAAAGTAGACCTATTTATAAATCACAGAATCATAGAATAGTTAGGGTTGGAAAGGACCTTAAGATCATCAAGTTGCAACCCCCCTGCCATGGGCAGGGACACCTCGCTCTAAACCATATTACCCAAGGGCTCGTCCAACCTGGCCTTGAGCACTGCCAGGGATGGAGCATTCACAACCTCCCTGGGCAACCCATTCCAGTGCCTCACTACCCTAACAGGAAAGAATTTCCTCCTTATATCCAATCTAAACTTCCCCTGTTTAAGTTTTAACCCATTTCCCCTTGTCCTACCACTACAGTCCCTAATGAAGAACACCATGAACTGCAGGAGGGGAATTTTCTACACCACTTCCCCCCCACTCCAAGTTTGCTGCCTCAATGAACACAGTGGCACACCTGAATTTGCTTTCTTCATGTATCAGGAGACTGTAGCAGAAAATGAGGTTAAAACTACAAGCACAGGGCCCAGTTCAGTCAAGTAGCACTGGCTCTGGTTCTCCTGCAGTGCATGAAGGGGATGCTCTGCAAAGTATGTCCCTAGTCCTAACACAGTCCTTCAGGCTTTTGTTAGTGGTCCTGCCTTATGGAAACAGACCCTGGGCAGGGCTGCTGAGGGTAACAATCCCAAACCAGGTCAAGTGGTTCAGAGGTAATCTACCTTCAAGGACAGAGGGTCTGCCTTTGTCCTTCTCTTTCAGTTTTCTCCAAACTAAAAAAGTTTTCTTTTCTAGGGTTCATAGGGATAATCAAACAAACCAACTACTCAATTGCAAAAGCTAGTAACATTAAAAATTCAAAAAAGGGAAACTAACCCAAAACACCCAGCATTCAAGCCGTCGTGGGTTCTTGTAACAAAGCAGATTTCTCATAGCCCACAGCTTGCGACAGTTCTCGAGTCACATCTACTACTGGCACACTTCTGCTTGGTTGCTGCTTTCAGTTTTGAACCTTAGCTCTACAAGGACTTGTCTGAGCAGATGGATAATCTTTGTTTTAAAGGATGTCATAAGTAAAAACAAACTCTGCCTTGCAAAGCTTCCCTGTTTGTATTCCCTCCCCAATTACTTGAAAAAGTAATCCAATAGATTAAATTTCCCTTTCCGAGAAGTGTTACCTAATGGCAAACCAGTGCTGATTCACCACGCAGATGATACAGTCACAAAAGTGCAGCTACTTAGTCAGCAGAGGTGGCTCAGGTGCTTGAAAAAACATTGTAGGAGCATTTTCATCCCTTTTCTGTCTGCCCTACACACTAAAACAGTGAGCATCAAGGCAGCTTTCTGGGTACTGAAAAAGCTAGAGGAGATCACAGAGAGATGGCTGGTCACATTATGTATTTTTCAGAATAACTCCTAACTATCTGTAATTATTGATATGTCTTGGTTTCTCCTACCTGCAGACATCACATGCTCTCTCTTACCCCCATTTGAATCATGTTGCAGATGCCACTGGAGCATATGGTGACTGGGAATAGAAGTGAATTAAAGGCAAGATGCAGGGAAGAAAATCACACATCTTTGGCATATCTCTGTAAACACGGATCAACCCACTTTCCCCTCTTTTGCAGGTCACTGAAAGTGGGGTGTATTTTATCAACCCAGACATTTCCAGCTACTTTTATCTTCTGTTTCTCATCCTATTTTTCCCCTGAAACCTCAGAGGTGATTTCTGGAGTCAGGATGGTATCTTTGTATTTCATAGCCCTCAGTAGAACTGTTTTCCATGAACTCATTTGGTTACTCCTGGACTAAGAAGACTCAGAAAGCCAGCTGTAGAAAGGACTAAAAATAAGATACCTATTTTTTTTTTCCGCTGGCTAATAGTCACAGACAAACTCCTTGCTCCAGCCAGCTGCTTGAAAGATCCCCTCCGTTTCATAGGAAATGATCTTCTATGCGGGTTAGCTTGAAGGGTCATTGCCATTGACGTAGTCAGACACTTGCTCAAACTTGCTTCCCTAGGACAGCTGTGCCTATGCTACTTTAATATCTTACAGGTCCACTTTTGAGTTCAAAGGGAATAAGAAAAAAGATAAAGACAAGAGGTGGGCCAGGCATGGCAGCATCCACCCTGGACAACCTGCTGGTGACAAAGCAGAGACCCCAGAAGCTCAGGCATATCTCAGAACAAATCAGGACCTGGTAACAACCAGGGTGACAAGAGAAGGAGTCTGAAAGTGTTTGTCTTTGCACCAAGGTCCCTGACATTACTGGCAAAGCACCCATTGAATTTATTTGCTTTAGATTAAGCTGATTAGAGAAACAGCTG